CAAAACAAAATGGATAAACCACATCAGACATAATATCAGGGGAATAGCACAAAACACGAAGCATTAAATCTGAAACAAATATGTCTCTGTGCCTGTGTAGAACCAGTGTTGTCCTAAACACAGACGTCTCACAGTCACAGGCCTAAAAAGAAATCAGTTGTTCTGTGAAATTTTTACCAAGGCATTATATAGCCTCACGGTATTGCTGAACTGACCTCAAAATCAATAAGGGTTTGTTTTTTTTGGTCAAAAAGAGTTGTAATGTAAATTTCTAGCTATCATTTGTAAATTTTATTTGCAATTTGTATTTTGTATTTTTATGAATTTCTGACTTTGACTTTTGACCTGTCATACATGCAAAAGCTTAAAAGATTATTAGAATATAAATTTATGACTTACCCTTTGGCTTTAAATTAAAAAATCATTGGTTTACTTACGTATATTTAAATTTGTCTCCACTAATCAATATCTTCGAATATACATTCTGCATACTGAAAAAGATCAATCCATACATAATGACAATAGTTTGTTCTCATAAAGTGTAACTAAAATGTTGAGAGAAAAAAAAACATTGACTATAAAATGATTAAATCTAACAAATTGTTTCAGAGGTTCAGACATTTTGTTCACTATATCAACATGTTCAATTCAGTGAACATGAACTCATCACAAACAATCAAACAGTAGTTTTTTGAGCAAAACTGAATATTTCATGACAGATGTTCCTTGAACATTCCAGCATACATCTGTTTTTAAATCAGGACCGACATCTTACCATTCTGTTAAATTTGTGGCAAGTGCTGCTATGAATCCCTGTATATTAAAACTAATTTCATAAGCTGAACAGAGGGCCAGGCCTCCCATGACTGGAATCAGTGACAGGAATGTATAGAACCCTGTGTACTCCCCCATCAGGACTTGTGAGATGAACACCGTGAACAAAGGGGCAGAACTCTTGACTGTCTCTGTGAAAGATACTGCCACATACTTCAGAGCCACGAGACCCAGGACAACAGTGGAGAATCTAGATTAAAGACAAGTAAAATAAGTAAGTAAGGCTGAATAGAATAGAAAATTAATTAGAACATTGATTGCATAAGTCAGCATTATACAACATAAAAATTGTTTTGTCTGTGTACATTTCGTATATTGTTGTCAATATAAATACCTTCGAATTATTTGTCTCTCTCCAATCTCTCTATCTCTCTCTCTCTCTCTCTCTCTCTCTCAATTTAAAAAAATTAAAGAAAACAAAGTCTCTCTAAATTATGCAAAATAAAAAAAAATTTTTAAACAGGGTAAAATCTGACCATTGACCTACTAAAATCTTTTCTCCAAAAATTAGGAGGTCACTGCACATTTGATTGGTTTATAGAATCATTGGTAGAGAGATATGAAACCCACATGTTGTGGAGAGATCTGCAGATTGCTCCTGTTTAACAGATAAATTCTAATATATTGACCATTAAATGGTCATAATATGGTTCAAAGTCAAGCCAGATAACTTTGTATACCAGTTACCAAAAATGGCACTCTGTGGGTCTGATCATATGAATATCCAAATTGGGCCAACAGAGAGCCTACAATTCATGCTCCGATAAGCAATCTTTTTCAATAATTCTGCTATAACTTGACCTAATTTTTTGGTGCTAGATGGTTATGACGTCATAATCAATTTCAACAGTTTCTTTTTCACTCTGTACTTTGACGGCTTTAGCAGATTTATGGGAAAATAGAGAGTATTTTCATGTCATTTTTCAATTTGAAATCATATGAAAAGTAAACCTTTGATCTAGATTAAATTTGATATTGATTTAAACACCGGTTACCATGAACATACTAATTACCGCACTTTCTGTGAGACTGTATGAGCAATTGGATAATTTCCTTTGAAACCGAATATGAAAGGAAAACTCCCATAATTCACTGACTGGTTTTCTTAAATTTTCATTGAAAATGACAGTTTAAAATACTGCACACCGTTTACCTACAAATTATCTGTGGGTGAATGCCATAAGGACCCTTTTGTCCGAAACACCTTATTTGACCAAGTTAGAGAGTTGTAAAGCTCAATAAAGAATTTATTTCTCAAAAAAAAAAAAATCGGACGGATAAATCTGTAGGCACAAATCTCTCATTTACTCCGCCAGATCTTGACCTTAAAAGTTTAGTTACAATCAAAATTACCCATTCTTGTACAGCTGGGTTCCCTTTTGTTTGTGTGGACAGGATGTACTTGTTTTTTACGGAAGATGTGAAGGCACTGAAGATGTAAAATGTTACATATATAACTACTAAGCAATTCTTCATCCACGAATTCAAATCCACTCAAACCAAGAGTTTTCGTACTCATCCATGATGGAAATTTTACCCAGCGACCTCCCCTCTATGTGATTTTACTCTCTAGAGTAATTAAAGATCACTGCTCCACTAGGTTAGACCTTATCAGTGTGATCTGCGCTTTTTATGTGCTACATGTATATATCCTACAGAATATGCTTGTTTATTTTCCACATTGCTTTCTCAAATGGTTAATTATGTTCCTACAATATAGTCAAGATTAAAATACAGAAAAAAAATTAAGTATAGAATCTTACCTCATAGTGCCTACTAAAATCATGTTTCTCCAAAAATTGGGAGGTTTTCCATCCCTTTTGATGGGTTTATAGAATCCCATTGGTAGATAGAGCTGGATAAACCCACATGTTGTGGTCATCACCATCTGCATTGCTCCTGTTTAAGAGAAAATTTTAGGTAAAATCTGATAAATTTATGATCTGGTCCACACAACCACTGCCTGAATAATTATATTCAAATGGAAAATAGTTTGTAAGTATGAACTGTTTGGTACTTTTTTCAGAAATGAATAATAATGTCAAATGATATTGAAGAAAATTTGATAATTGGGTATTTTTGATAGTTTTTAAATAAAATTATAAAAATATACAGCACTTGCAATTTAATCCGAGACCATGAAGCTGTACTTACCCCTTTTTTATATTGTATGGCAAGGAGTTAAGACAAAGTACTCATATAAAAACAGTTGGGAATTTTCATTGAAACAGCTACAACAGTGACTGTGTTGCAAATAGAATACCTTTTATGACCTTTAATTAAGCTCTTTAGTTCTTAGTGTAGTCTACTTGCATGCCAAATTATAGTTATAATCACACTAACAAACTGATCAGTGTGAAATTTATATTTTTAGTAACCAAGGCATGGTTGTTCATCAAAGTCAGCATATACGAAGTGTTCTTTGACAGTTGCTTTCCTGTGCCAAGTTATATAAATCAAACCATCACTTATGTTGTTTTATATATTTTGAAACAATTTCACAGAAATTTCATATTTTTACAAAAGGTGTTTTTAGCACATGTAACTTTTCAACCAATTGGAATTTTGTGTATTTGTGTGCTGACGTTATATTGAAATCAGAAGTCGAATGGCTGAGGAGGAGTAGCATTTTGAAACAATTTTAAGAAATGCTTCTATTTTTCGGTTAACAACGCCAAATGGTGATGGAATCCTTTTAATGATGATTAAGTTGTATCTTAGTGTAATCATCCCTTGTGTGCCAGGTTATCTCTGAAATCAGACCAAAACTGTAGGAGGAGTCTGCATTTTGAAACAATTTCAGTCAGAAATTTCTATTTTTAGTAACAACAGCAACATCATTGTCACCGAAATCAAAAACCATATACAGAATTATATATCTTGTGTAGTCTACTTGTGTGCCCCCTGCAAGTTATATTGAAATAAAAAAAAGTAGGAGAAGTAGTTTTGAAAAATTGTTTACAGACAAACAGACAGATTTTTACGGACGGATTACTATCGCAATTTAAGCCTTTTGTCTATGACCAGTCTTACAAAAAGCAGAGAACAGTTTTGTCAAGTACTGTATAAAATTGCATTTATATTCATTCTGAATTACAACAGTATGTTTACAACTTATGCTAAAGATAAGGCACAACTCTTTGTATATTTCAAGTTCATAAGTAGAAATTTGCCCATTAGTACATAATCCCCCTGGCACGTGGACAAAATGTAAATCAGGAAGAGGGTGAATACTGAATTGAATGTAACACAGGCATTATCATAAAAAACAAGATACTGAGGAAAAGCTTTAATTCAGTATATCTTCATCTTTATGGACGATGTGCTGGTTACCTCCCCTTTTTACACTCTCGAGAGACATTTCTATAAGATCACGCTCCAAGAAAGCAATAATGTGCTTATTTCCAATGGCTCATTGTGGTACTCATAAATTCGTAATAGTAAATTATGTTCCTACAATATAATAATTATCAATTGGCTTGCGTAATAATTTAAAGCATAAATTTTATGCATAAAATTATAAATAAGCAACATAAATAAATAAGACAATATATATGTTTTAGGAAGCTAATAGAATAAAAACTCCTTTTCAGATATTGAGCACATTTTAAATAAAAGGTGTTTTTTTTTAATTCTTTCTTGAAAAAAGCTTTGTTTTTGATGGATTTTATCTCATCTGGAAATGAATTCCACTCCTTGATACCATTATAGTAGAAAGTATCCGACTCTGACTTAACAATTCTTGGGATAAAAAAAGTTCAACTTGCTGGACCTAGTTGTTCTAGTTGTTGATAAATCTATATAGCAATTTCAAGCTTTTGCTAAACCAAAAGGTTGTGTTGAACCTGATTAAAAATAAGAAGTCTTATGTAGCCAACAGTGCAGTGTGGGGATGGATTTCCCCAATGTAAAATTTAAATAGCATATGATTCCAATTTCAATATTTTTGGCTTGTTACCTAAATGACTACTTGAATACCTACATATTTCTTCTATTTTCGTAGTTGCAAGCCAAGATAAACATGTGCTTGTATCGTTGTGACTGCCAACACTACATCCTTGCCAGAGAAATATTCAATGTTGTTTTGATGCTTGCATAAACTGTCGTTCAATAAACCTTTCACAATCACGGAAATGATTAAGATCGCTATCGAATACTTCCGGGTCATGAATGACGTAGTGAATGATTTCTACATAGAAAACAGAGAAAAAGAATGAAGCAGATGATGACAGCTGATTTGTTTATTATCGAGACCAGATTATTTTCATTTTAATATTTTCAAAAAATTAACATATTTTATATAACTATAGAAAATGAGTGAATTAACTCCTGATGAGGTGAGTGCAAAATAACTGGATTTGGGATTTGAAATCACCATGCACATGCCTTTTGTTGTTTGTGATAAAAAAACAAACAAACAATCAATAATTTATTTTATCTTTTACATCATGAAATGAATATGTATTTAAACTTCTTAACACTGTAATGTGTTGTTTTCTCCAACACATTTTCCTCTGTATTCCCTTTTCCATAGTTTGAAATATTCTTCAAATACTGAACTTGAATTATATATAAAACATTTGTCTGTTTAGATTCAGCTACCTTTCACTCCCTAATTCTAGACACATTATTGAACTAATCTGTATATTTTATCCATCTGAAAATTCACTTCAAGCGACTTGCTATAAACGGTTGGGAGGTGGATAAACTATACATATTGGATACAGAATGTGTCTAGAATTAGGGAGTGAAAGGTAGTTGATTGACCAATGCTAGGTTTCTCCCCACCAAGTGATTTTTTGCATACGGGAATTGTATATAAAACATTTGTCTGTTTAGATTCGGCGTCGCAGACTTGCTGGTGCACTCAAAGCTCTCCAAGTCAGTCATCACAGGCTAGTGGTGGATCAAGCCAGGCCTCGGACTCGCAGACCACCCCATCTCGAACAAACAGTACACCCCCAAGTATGTTACTACAAACAGCTGATGGAGTTATTGTTAATCTGAAAGCAATATGTAAGATATTTGAATAAGTAGCTCTTGGAATGGAAGATAATGCTGTTTTATTTCAATTTTACAGGTAGTCTTAATGTTGATCCAGTGACTCCGGATTCTCAAAGAAGCTTGGATATGGATTCTGAGTGCTCAGAGAAAAAGTATGTTTGGAAAATACATTACTTCTATACACTATCAAAATTTGAATTGTTTTATTACCACAATGATTAATTGTCAACAAAATTTGTAGAACAGATTTTGATTTGTACTATATAATACATTAATCCATTTTTCTTTTAGTTCTCAATCACAGATGGATGTGGATTCTGGAATAGAGACAATGGAGGTCGATGATCAGGACATGAAGTTTGAGATAAAAAGGAGAAGGGTAAATATAAAGAATAAAAACCGTTATTTAAATATCATTTGCAGTTTTACTCAATATGTATTTCATTTATATGATTATGTTTGACTCATCAGGACACTAGTATAGGATCAGAAGCTACTGTAGAACAGGTGACCGAGGCTGCAGGTCGAGTGTGTCTGGTGTCCTGGAATGAGGAGAGGGAGGAAGCAGTCTATATACCTGAACTTGGAGATTCTGTAGATGGAGGTAACTAATCCTTACTGATATGGATTTGAATATTAATAGATAAAAAAAATAAATAATTAATCATAGTTATTAGTTACACAATATTAAGTTAAATAACTTAATATAGAGGTACCCAGGGTGTGAAATTGAAATCCATATTGGGCAAGGCAGAGCCAAATTTGCCTAAAACTGGATAATTGGCATAATAGTGATCATCTGCCCAAACCACAATGAATCATGTATAGTGTCTTAAACAATGCACTCGTTATTTAAGCCATCTTCATGTGTTTCCATGTTTCTTTTAGGTGACAGTAAGGAAATGATTAACCAGGCATTGATGGAAATGCTGCTGAAAATTCGGGATTCTTCTGAAAACCCCGTGTTGAAGATCCGACCTAATGTTTCTTACGCTGTATCACCAAAGAAACCAGGATCAAGCCCAAGGGCGTATGTTTGAATATACCTATATCTTTAATTTCAAAAATTGTGAAGAAAAGGGATAAAAGCATCCTACCAACCAAAGAAATTAAAAAAAATAGATCAACAATTCAAAAACATAACATTCTGTAGTATGTTCATACTTTCATGTCCCCGTTGTTGTGTTGTAGAGTTAGCACCATGATGTCCCCAGATATGCAACCAAAGCGAGAGTTTTCTGAGAAGTATCAGCCAGAGAAATGTAAGGAGATAGAAATGATGAACTACCTGATGGACTGTTATGATCGAGCTGCACTGGAGGAAAGATTGGCTCCCAAGGTACAGAAACATGTTTATCTTTGATCTTATATTCATAATTGCGTATTTATCAGTGAAATCCTGTTTTTGCTGAAAAGAAACAAAGAATAAGCAGTTATTAAAGCTTTTGCTATCTTGAATACAAAGAAAATATGACTTAATGAATATCGGAAAGAATTTTGAAATATCCCCCATGATTACATTGTGAATTGATAATTTAGAGAGCAAGTGTTCCTCCACTAAGCTTGATGTTGTCCAGCGCCAGGAGACAGTGTGTCTGCCATACTGCATTAGTTCTACAGGGAGCACTAACAAAACCTAGGTAAGAAAAGGTCAAAAAAGGAAGGCATTTTCCATTGAAATTGATTTCATTTACAAATATTCCTTCTCAGTGCTACGAGATATCATACGTATTTGCATGTGTAATTTATTCAAGAATCGTTTAGGACAACTATACATAGAGAGTGTCTTGTTTATTTCTAGATCTGTTGGTGGTACTTCTCTACTTCTGAACTACTTATTGTCTCACAACTTACCCAGAGGCTTTCTCCCAGAACTTGTACAAACTACATGTAATGACCCAGATACTTTCAGAAGAGTGAGTCAGAAATATTCATTTTTATCTATATTAAGTTATACAGAAACAAATTCAGTTATTTTACAAGAATTTTCTGAGTGCATCCTTCAGTTAAGTTAAGGATTTATTCTATTGTCTTGATAATGCCTAATGAATTTCTAAAGCAAAATAAAGCACTCATTGATAAACTGTGATGTCTTTGTATTGATATTTCCTTAGAATTAATAGGGATCATCGATATATTTGGTTTGATATTTAGTCAAATGTTATAATCATCTATCATTGTGATGAACACATGAACATTAAACATACTTTAGTTCATTATTATTTCCTTTATCAGATATTTATCCCAGTATTACATGGTTTTTCTTTACCAGATATTTATCCCAGTATTACATGGTTTTTCTTTACCAGATATTTATCCCAGTATTACACATTTTTTCTTTATCAGGTATTTATCCCAGTATTACAAGGCTTAAGTCGACACATCCACTCCATGTCTCTGGATACAGACCAGTACAGGGAACCTCTGTCTGTTCTCTCGGAACTCTGTGAAATCAAGAGTGGCAGCACACGACCTATATGTGGCCTGGTGAGTACTCAGAAAAAAGAACACAAAGTAATAGTGTTTATTATTATTAATGCATTAATCAGGATTATTTGGCCATAACGTACTTTATACTTTGTATAACCAGGCTGTACAGCTGTTGAATTGGATCCCAGCCTCTATGACCCAGGCCACAGGTATGGAGTTAGAGAAGCTTTCCTGGCTCGGACCATTCCTAGGTGTGTCTGTATTTGCTGAGGACAATGTGAGTACTTTTTGTGAACAGTGACTTATCAAAACTGAGAACTCTTTGTTCCTTAAAGATTATTTTTTACTAATATAGACTAAATTCCACATATTTTTTCAGACAAAAGTTGTGGAGAAGTTTTTCTCAGGTCACCAGCTGTCTGCGGATAACACTAGACTGATACACCAGTCCTTACAGCATGGGTTGGAGTATGTCAGAACAGAACTGTTCAAAATCGTACACAATATTCTAGTCAACGGGCCCAGCAGAGATCTAGCTCTAACTTACTTAGCCACAGCACTAGAAAGGAATGCCAAGAAATCTCAGATACAGGTTAGAAGATCTAACATCTTATCTGAATATTAAGATTTCAATACAATTTGCATATAACAGGTTGTTGTGCAAGCATTGAACAATAGTATGTACATACAAATGTCAAACTTTCAAAGTATAAAGGCTATAATAAACCAGGCCTAATTCACTTTTGTTAATAGGTGGATGAAAGATATGTTGCAGGAGATGGATTCATGCTGAATTTATTGTCCGTCCTACAACAATTATCGGTGAAAATTACTCTTGATAAGGTAAGTACTTATGAACAAAATTTAAACAAGAATGTTCATGTTGAGGACACTTTGAATTTTTTTGAAGTGGAAGAAATTTTTCTATGATGCATATTATTTGTAATTATTTTCATGAGAGTTTTACTTTAATATATCAGACATTACCACTTGAAGTCTTAATTCATGATCCCACAAAAAAGAAAAAAATTATGTCTGCAGTCATGTATTGCTATTAATATCATTCCCTATGCTATTCAGGTTGACACCTACTACCCTTTTCATCCAAACTCCAGAGTCAGCATTAAGTCAGAGACCAGATTAAAGGCCCTTCCACAGCAAGCTGAAAAGTGGATCAAGGAGTTGTGTAAGTAGACATGTATAAGCATTTTTCAGAAATAGCAAAACTTAAACTATGAGATTTTATAAAGGTGATTTTCATATATAAGAGAATACATGTATTTGAACTCGTAAATGTCTTGCTTTCTGTGAAGCCAAAGGATCACCCCCCTGGCAGGACCCTAAATTTCCCACGGAATGCTTTTTCCTGACCTTACATTGTCACCACCTGTCAATCATTCCCGCGATCCGGAGATACCAGCGCCGCCTACGTGCAATTCGTGATCTCAACAGAATGGTGGAGGATCTAGAAAATTCAGAGTCACAGTGGAGTCAGTTTCCAAATGCTGCCAGGAACAAAGAAATGCTGAAGAAGTGGAAATCTCAAGTTCAGGTATCGTGTACAACTGTTACACTAATTCATTACTGCCAGTTATTTTCTGAATTCTTTAATTTGAACCCAGTAGTTTTATTTTTGACTACAGGTTTAAATTATACAATCATGAACTATTCATACATTTACTGGTATTTATTTTAGTCATTCTGTTTCTTTCAATTTGTTCCTCTTGGATGTAACATAGATTAAAATCTACATAAAATTGTGTTTCTTATCTGGATATTTTTTTTATAACTGTTAAAACCATTCTAACTTTTCCAGAGATTACAGAAGAGTAAACTGTGTGCTGATGCTGCTGTGTTAGACGAGTCCCTACTTCGCCGTTGTTTAAATTTCTACAGTGTTGTGTGTACATACCTACTGAAAGTCGCAGACCCAGAGAATATGGGGTATAGAAAGTCCTTAGTTCTTCCATAAAAATCTTTCTTATCTGCAATCTTTTAACTGGTTTTGGTATTACATTAAAAAAGTTCTTCTCAAAACAATTCACACAAAAATGTGAACTAATTTTTGGTGTTTATTTCAGTCAAACTCTGCCATTGTCCGGAAATGTGCCAATGCCATTTGGAGCTCTTCCTGATTTCTACTTAGAAGACATTGCTGATTTCCTCCTCTTTATCATCCAGTAAGTTAATATCATCCATTAAGTCAATATATTAAGTATTACAATAAGGTCAATATGATTTCTTCTTAGAAGACATTGCTGATTTTCCCTTCTTTATCATCCAGTAAGTAAGTATCTCTCTGGACACATTGCCCTCTCAAAAATATCAAAGTTTTAAATTAAAGCATATATTTTATGTTATCTAATATGAGAAGGTACCTGATATGCCCTGACATAATATTTCTTGGGTACTTTCAGATTTTGTCCGGATGTCCTGAATGACCCCTGTATGAAGCAGATCATACACATGCTGATTGTGATGATGTGTAACAATGAGTACATAGGGAACCCCTACCTGACAGCCAAGCTTGTCGAGGTCCTCTTTGTTATGAACCCCAGCGTACAACGCAGGACAGGAACTCTCAACGAGCAGTTCTTACTTCATCCCCTGGCTCTAAAACACCTGGTACCAGCTCTCATGAAGTTCTACACAGGTAATGGTGTACATAACTATCCTTAAACAAACTAATGCTAAGAGTTTTAAACACCTGGTACCAGTTCCAATGAAGTTCTACCCAGGTAATGGTTTACATAAACTCTTCCTAAAGGAGCTAATGCTTTATTTAATTTCTTAAAAAAAGTAGAATTGTGTAGAACTGCATAATTTAAAGATTGACTAAATCTCATATACAGTCAAACTTTGTTATCTCAAACATGGGGCTGAGAAAAAACTTCAAGATATCGGAGGATTAAAGATATCAAGGGTAAAATACTGAAAGAATAAGTGGTTGGGACTTCCACATTACTTTGACACCAAGTTCAACTGTACCAGTATTTACCTGGCATGATCATCATGTAGTCTAATTGCTCATAAGTTCAGAATGAGAAATGTAAAATAATACATGTATATGTTGTTTTTGTCAACAGATATTGAGACGACTGGAGCCAGCAATGAATTTTATGACAAGTTTTCCATCCGTTACCATCTCAGTATCATCTTTAAGTCAATGTGGCAGACTCCACAACATCAGCTCAACATGATAGAGGAGGCTCAGTAAGAACCCAAAGTTGTTTAAATGAACCAGTAACAATTTACATTACAGTTCACATATGCCTAAGATTTATGTGGGATATGGGGCAAATAATATAACATGTTACTTATATAGTACCAAATTATATGTAAAATATTTCTTTAATGTCCAGAATAAATTATTCAGATGTATATTTACCGATAATGTTTGAATGTCAATCAGGAATGGTAAACAGTTTGTGAAGTTTGTGAACATGTTGATGAATGACACATCTTTGCAGAGTTTGGACTGTCAAGAGAATCATGAGGTCCAGGAGGCATTCAGAACACAGAGGAGTTAAAGGCATGAAAGTTGGAGGCCATACAGAACACAGGAATTTGAGAGGCAGCCAAAGGTAGGTCCAGGAGGCCATACAGAACACAGAGGAGTGGGAGAGGCAGCCAAAGGTAGGTCCAGGAGGCCATACAGAACACAGAGGAGTGGGAGAGGCAGCCAAAGGTAGGTCCAGGAGGCCATACAGAACACTAGGAGTAGGCAGCCTTATGGGAGGCCATACAGAACACAGGGATGAGAGGCAGCCATCATGTAGGGGGTCTAACGGGCAGTTTAAGAAATGTTGATAGATGAGAATATAAATATAATACATGTAAATGTTTTCTGAATTTCACTTTCTTGCTGTGTTCGTACAACCAATATCTTTGAAAAGATGGAAGGGAGAATAGCAATGAATTTTATGACAAGTTTTCCATCCGTTACCATCTCAGTATCATCTTTAAGTCAATGTGGCAGACTCCACAACATCAACTCAACATGATAGAGGAGGCTCAGTAAGGACCCAATTGATACAATTTGTGTTTGTCTTATTTGTTTGTAATACTGTGCATGTAACATCATGCATAGAATTTACATATAAAATGCATGTATTACTTTTGCATCACCAAAATACAGTAAAACTTGATTAGTACGAACACAGATTTGCTAATTCATGGATATAGGGAAGTTTTCTTGGATCCCCAACTATGAAAATTTTATGAATTTCTTACACGGATTTAACAAATTACAGATATAGCAAAGTAATTTCACCAGTCCTAGTGACTTTGTTATAACCGAGTTTTACCGTATTAAATTTGTTTGATAATCAAAATAAAATGTTCACCGTAATCTTGTATACCCAGGTATTTTATGTTTGAATGTCTCTTTTTCAGGAATGGTAAACAGTTTGTGAAGTTTGTGAACATGTTGATGAATTGACATTTTACGTTCCTGCTTAGGACGAGGCTCTATTGATTATTATATTGTGAAAATGCATTAACTTTTTGAAAATCTTCTTCTCTGCTTCTGAGGTCCAGGAGGCCATACAAGAATGTTTCACCAAAATTGTGGAGAGGCAGCCAAAGGTAGGTGTTAGGAGTGGCCTAATGATTATATAGAACACAGAGGATTCTTTTCTCTAATTCTGGGAGAGGCAGCCAACTATTTATATAGTTATGATGTCTTTCAGGATTTTGCCATACAGAACACAGAGATAAGAAGTGTGAGAGTGCAATGTGTAAAGGTAGGTTCATGTGTGGTAGGCCTCCTGATTACAGAACACGGAGGAGTGGGAGAGGCAGCCAAAGGTAGGTTCAGGAGGCCATACAGAACACGGAGGAGTGGGAGAGGCAGCCAAAGGTAGTGATTTACAGTATTACTGAGTTGACATACATTTTTGAACCCTGCTTATGGGTATTAAGTGCTAAGGAGAGGCATGCCAAAGGTAGGTCCAAAATTGGAGGCCATACAGAACACAGAGGAAAGTTGGGAGAGGCAGCCTAAAGGTAGGCCTCTTGTTTCAGGAGAAAGCATATTTAAATGAAAAATGCCTCATTGGAGTATGTTTTGGAGAGGCAGCCAAGACAGGTAGGTCCAGGAGGCCATACCCTGAACACAGAGGAGTGGGAGAGGCAGCCAAAGGAGAAGGTCCAGGAGGCTTCATACAGAACACAGAGGATTGATAAGATGAAAGTCCTAGACATAAAAAGTGATAATATTAATCTGTAAATATTGTAAAGTAACATTTGAAAAATAATATATGAGATGGAGAAATAACCTATGCTGTATTTCTCTCATGTTTAAATAATTTATACTCAGTTGCAAGTATAAAAGTAAATAATTCAAATGAACACTCTCTAGAGGAGTGGCAGAGGCAGCTCCAACAGTTGTGTGGTCCCAAGGTAAAAATCTCAAGGTGAAGAACACAGAGGAGTAGAGGCAGCCAAGGAATTGCTCAATAGGCTGACAGAACACATTTAGAGGATGAATTTGCTACTGCCATTGCCAATGATGAGGTTAGTTATCTTATTAAAAACTATTCTTTTTATTTTTTATTACAAACATTTTTTAGGTCACCTGAGAGAGGACAGCCAAAGGTAGGTCGTGCGGTCCGGAACATTTTCATTCTCTGCAACTACTGAACCAATTTCAACCAAATTAGGCACAGAGCATCTATGGGAGAGGGGAGCAAAATTTGTGAATTTCATGATCCCTGCCCCCCAGAACACAGAGGGGTGGGAGAGGCAGCAATCTTTAAAAATCTTCTTCTTTAGGACATCAAGCAGAACACTGTTTGCAGGATTGTAATCAGAATGAGGCACCAAAATTGTGAAATTTATGGCCCTGGGGTCAGGGGTACTTGTGCTAGGGTGGGGCTAAAAAAGTATATAGTGAAAATGCATTATTTCTTTAAAAATCTTCTTCTCTGCTCCTGGGTATTAAATAAACTAATTAAGTACATAGTTATGATGAGCAAGAGTGCCTCTACTAAAATTGTGAATTTTATGCCCCAGGTCAGGGATTCTGGTGTAAGGGGATATACTGATATATATATATACATGAATTCTTTGAAAAACTTTTTCTCTGCTCCTGGGTATTAAAAAACTAACTTGTACATAGTTATGATGAAATTTCTATTGCATTTTATGGCCCCATTGGGGTTCTGGTGTTAGGGCAGGGCTCTATTGATTATATAGTGAAAATACATGAATTCTTTGAAAATCTTCTTCTCTGCTCCTGGGTATAAATAAACTAACTAAGTACATGTTTTTGCTGTGTTTTATGGCCCCAGGGTCAAAAGTTCTGGGGTAAAGGCGGGGCTAGATTATATAGTTACATGAATTTATCTTCTTCTCTTCTATGTATTATATATTATATAGTAATGAGCAAGAGTGCCTTAAAAATTGTGATTTTATGGCCCCAGGGTCAGGGGTTCTGGTGTTAGGGCGGGGCTCTATAATATATGAAAATACATGAATTCTTTGAAAATCTTCTTCTCTGCTCCTGGGTATAAATAAAATTGTACATGTTTTGATGACAAAGAGTGCAGCACCAAAATTGTGAATTTTATGGACAGCTGGGGTATGGATGAGATATAGTGAAAATACATGAATTCTTTGAAAATCTTCTTCTCTGCTCCTGGGTATTAAATAAACACTAAATATATAGTTATGATGAGCAGAGTGCCTCTACCAAAATTGTGAATTTTATGGCCCCAGGGTACCTCACCTATTGATTATATAGTGAAAATACCTGAAAAAATCCCTCTGCTCCTGGGGATTAAATAAACGGTAACTAAGTACATAGTTATGATCAGCAAGTCTCTGAAAAATTGATTTTAGGATGGCAACCTTAGGCATTAAAATATAAAAATCTTAATATGTCGAAAATTGAAAGTAATGTTTTAAAAAAGTCATATGAGATGAAGAAATAGACTCTTTCTCTTATGTTTTATTGAATTATGAGTCATTAACATGATTAACAATAAATTATACCTTTCTAGGAACTAGCTGAACGACTGGCAGCCATGTTGAACTTCAATCTCCAGCAATTGTGTGGTCCCAAATGTAAAAATCTCAAGGTGAAAAATCCGGAGAAGTATGGCTGGGAGCCAAAGGAATTGCTCAATAGACTGACAGATATCTACCTTCATTTAGACTGTGATGAATTCGCTACTGCCATTGCCAATGATGAGGTTAGTTATCATGTTTAAAAAAAAAAAATTTCAAATCTTATATTTAATACATCTCATATTTTTTCTATTGAAAAATGTGTCTTTGATACCTGTCTGTTTTATGCTAGGTTACTAAAAATATATGCTTTCTTTGTATGATTTGCTTTGAAAATTTCATCATTATTGAAAAATTTGCTTTCTTCTTTGTAGAGATCTTATCGCCATGAACTTTTCAATGATGCAATCACCAGGATGCAGAAAGCTATGATTAAGACAAATGTAGAAATAGAACAGTTCCGCTTCCTTCAAGAAAAAGTTGACAAAATTGTGGTAGAAAAACAGAAGGCGGAGGTAGATTACGGAGATATACCTGAGGAATTTAGAGGTCAGTTTTAGATGTTATACAGTTACAGTGAATATCACAGTTATGTAATAGTAATTTTCAGTCCTTTCAGTTAGAATACAATTATAATGAATCCAAGTTGTTGAACTCTTGTGCAATATTTCACTATATCATGATTTACTATATTCATTTTGAAGTAGATATATGGGATAGGGAAAAGAGGTTTTATAAACATGTCAGGTTCCTTCTACATGCTGATTAACAAAATCTTTATTTCATTATTTTCGAGAATTTTTGCATTAAAAGAATTAATCTGGAATTAACTGGAACATGTTGTGTAATGGCATCTTTTTCTTTTAATCTAACATTTACCCTTGTTTATTGTTTTTTCAGATCCCCTGATGGACACCCTAATGTCTGATCCTGTCCTCTTACCTAGTGGTGCCATCATGGATCGACCAATCATAACCCGGCATTTACTGAACTCTCAGACCGACCCATTTAACAGACAGCCTCTTACTGAGGAGCAGCTAATTCCAGGTCAGATTAGAGTGCTTAATGATAAGTAAGAAACAAAGCAACATTGGTTTGCAGATGAAAATATTCACTGCCAGTCAAAGCAACCAATCAAGCCATCCTCTTAGAATTGCTATTTTAATTGTTATCCCAAAGTAGCATGAGAATAAAAATAATAACCTGGTGTATAAAATCAGCTTTTCAATGTTGAATGACAAAAATTTGAAAATAATAAATTTGACCTTCATATTAAATACTGTAGATTGGCAAATATTCACGATGGTTTTAATTTCGCTATGTTCGCGATTTATTAATTTTCCGCGAAATTAAACCCATCGTGAATGTTATTATTAGTTTTTAATAATGTTAAATTGCTTATACGAAATTTTGCATTAATTTCTTGCAGCGTGAAATTAAAACCATCGCAAATGGTACTTTTTGAGATATCGTGAAATTTTAACACCGTGGAATTAAAATGATTTACAGTATTCAGCTATTAATTTTTCTTGATAAACCGTTATTCTATTTCAGCCAACGATCTCAAGAAGAAAATTGAAGCTTGGAAGCAATCAAAGAGAAGATAATCCAGTAACAACAGAAATCAACACCATCCATGTGTTCCTTTAGTTAAATTCATCTCATGTCACTAGAGAATTAGTCTGCCTTTAAGTTGTTTTACCCTCTCAGCCCCCCTACCAACAGTAGATAGCTTCTTTCTGTGAGTTGTATGTTGTCCTACAGTTAGAACATACCCCGGTACATGAATATTGATTGGCTGATCCCCGTTACAATTTAATCTCTGAGAAATACTTTGAATGAAGTTTATTATTCTAACAAATGACTTTGTTCAATGTTGTAGAAAATCTGGAGTTATAACATATTTGAAAGCAAGGTTTAACAAATTTGTTATTTAATTGGTTTGGTTTTTCCACAGCATCTAATGAAAGATCTTGAACTTTTTTGTTTTGTTTACAAAATATGAAATATTATCGAAATATGAATGAAAACAACTTGAAACAGAGAATGCATTGTTTGATATTTATTGTGGTTTAGATTTTTTAATTGCAGACCAAGAGCTTTCTAAGAATATACTGTGATCTTGTTTGCATTTGTTGACAAGTGTTCCAGGCAAGTGAACAAATTGTTCTAGGTGATTGAACACTGCTCACTTAGAATGATTGGGGAGACTTCATGCAAACCTTGTCTTTGTGTTTCTCCTCACTTGTCTAGTATCAAGTTGAACAGATTATTTATAATCTTTATGTTATAACAGTCATCACTATTATCCGATTTCTTACTGTGTGAGAAAAATTAATACATGTACAAAAGTTTTTAGTGAAACCTTAGATAACTGCTTCTGATTTTAATGTGAATTATCCTGTTCCATGTTTATAGAGTTATTTTTTTTTTCATTGTCTTGATATCTGTACTTTGAACGTTTTGTTTACTGCTTTATGATTTCTGTATTGCTTGTATTGTTTGTTTGATGTGGCTGTTATTTCCTCGTGTTTACAAAGATACTAGAGACCTTGCATGACTTGTTTTATGGTGTAAATATAAACCTCTCAGTTTTAAGTACACCATTTGAAGTTTCTTTCTTGAAGAATCTCCTTAATAATAGAGGGGGTAATATTGATTTCTCCACACTGCCCCCTATGTACAATGAATGCAGGTACGAGTATATTTGTTTGCCCTATCATTCTGTTTTGATGCAATGAGAAAATGTCCAAAACTTGAAGTTTTAAATATTCCAACTATTGTATCCATGTTCATTGCACAGAAGCTGTGCTATAATTATTTTCTCCCATTTATCTCTGTGGAGTTGTACTATCAATCTTTATCGGGAATCTGAACACTTACTATACATATCAGAGTGACTAGTCATCTACTGGCATAAAACTCAAGTAGTGTTTATAGCAGAGAATTGTTATTACTTTTACGAGGGCATAATTGCAGAGCATTTTTCATATGAATTGTGTTGTATATATATGTGCTTGTGCTTCTTGGTCAAATTTCTTTAAAAAAAAATTATTTCTGTTAAAGTTTCTTGCAAATTTTTGTCAGTTGCTTTTCATTTCAAGCAGAAATCATATTACATGTAATTAACAAATAAAAGAATTAAGCTACTTTGAGAGAGCTTAGGAAAGAAAATAAATCTAACAATTAATATTTAATTCAATAAGGAAAATTGTTATCCCATATTTTTTGTGGTATATGATTGTTTAATAATGCATATGCATGTAATGAAGCTCTTAGACAATATTGCTTACTGGCTCATGACCTTGAATTTTTCTGACAAGCTTGTGTGTGTATGTGTGCTATAACCATTCTGTGATTGTTTACATGTGTTTTCATCATTTTGTAATTGTTATTTATACATGAAAATACTGTTGTATGTACAAAGGAATTTTCTGGGACAAAGATTGGGGGAAAAAGTTTGATGTTGATAGATTGTAAATGGCTGCAATAAAGTTACTAAGAGAATAAAATAAGATGTATAATTGAATTTTATATAAATTAACATAGAACTACAAGATGAATTGCATTCCACACAAAGTAAACAATGTGCAAAGAATTTCCTTTGCTGATCTGATAAATAAGTCTGATATTTTATTGAACTCTTCAGTGTCAGGAAATTTGGAAAGTGTATATTTGTCGTGATCATTGGTGCGTTTTAAGCAGTAATGGTAGATACACTGGTTTTCCTTGACATTTCACCGGTGACAGCAGATCCACTGGCTTTCCCAAGGCTGCCAAAGGCTGAAAGATATGCAGATTTATATAATTCATGTACATACAGAACAATGTAATAAAACATTCAAATTCAGATTTACTGAAAGAACCTTAAAATTATGAACTCTTAAAATTTCAACATACGAGGGTTGATCCAAAATTAATGTCACTGTGTCAATATCTTTAATATTTGGCGTCATATTATCAAATATTTTATACCAAAAGATGCATAAAAATAAATCTAATCAAACTTGAAATTTTCATTGAATAATGTTTAATTAAATTAATTTTATAGACGTTTAAAATATTAAACATAAGGGGTGTCGCCGCGTCACAAGTAAACGTCACGTTTTAAAGTGTAAATTCTTAGAATGAGAAAAGACAAACGCATTAAAAAGCATCTATAAAAGCATCTAATCGCCCAATATTTTTAAAAGACAAAATTTTTCGACATTTTCTAGCATTAAGTTAAAAATAAAATGACGTCATTGCTTTTTGATAATAAACATTGTTGTTTTAATCTGCTGTATTGAACAAAGGAAATGTCGAAATGGAGAATATCCGCTGAAACGAGCTGTGATGCATTTTTGCTACAAAATGGGGAAATCGCCCGTAGAAACAGTTACGATGATTAATCAGACATACAAAGGAGATAAAATAAATAAAAGACTTGTTTATAAATGATTTCAGCGATTTTAGCGGGTCATGGGTCACTGAATGATCAGCAAAGGACAGAAAGACCGAATAAGGGAGGTCGGACGGAAACGTTCACTTGTGTCTGACGGTGTCCAAAAATAAAGACGGTTAGACAGTTACAGCGATATGAGAAACTTTAAGTTTGTCTTATGGTACTATTCAAGAATTTTGACAGAAGACTAAATTATATATAGAGTGAGTGTACAATGGGTGCCAATAATTCTAATAAAAAGAGGTGTGAATGTGTTCGTAAATCTCAAATATTTGTATACGAAACAAAGGGTAAGCGTTCAAGTGTATGACGGCGCGTATCCGTCATATGACGTTATTTAAGTGCGGCGACTACCGTAATTGCACTTTGTATATAATTCGATATTTTAAAAAGTATAAATCATTTTAATTTGGATTTTTCAGGACTGATTTGTAATAAATATAGCTTCGATCTTGTTTAATTTCGTTGATTTACGTCGTCTAGTAGAAATTTTATCGAAGTTGTGACATTACTTTTGGATCAACCCTCGTATAAACTGTCATGGCCATTTGTTTACCTTGATGATTGTTATTGTGTGTTATAGTTAAATGTTACCTGGTGCAGATAAGGCCCTGGCATATACCTTCTTTCTTTCAATTTTTCTTTCCTAAAAATTGAAACGGACAAATTTAAAACTTTTGAATAGAAATGATGATTAATAATGTTTTGTGATAATGTTGTGTTCAGACTTAAAAAGTAAGAATCATAAAAGTACAACTCACAAATACTAGCTGTTTGCGGAGTTCTTGAATCAATGCATTATAAGAGCTGGATTTCACACGATAATAAAGTACAAGGAGACTGAAACAAGGGTAGATATATGAATAAAAAAACTTCCTTGCAAAGATGATACTGTATATACACTAAGTCATTAATTAAAAAAAATTCAAAGTTCAAAAATATACACTGAAGTGTCCCATTAACTTAATTTGCCTACTGTGTTATTTTACTTTTAATACTTGACTCAAACTTTTGTATTCTTTTGACCTACATTAGCACCACTATGATTGGAACAATCACAATGGCCGTGGCAATATAGTCTATGGCGTCCTTGACCCAGTCCAGCCAGCTGGGAAGGTCATTCAATGAGTCAAACAGATCTATCACTTTGTAGGCCCTGTCTTTCTCCGCAAAAGGACCGCAGTACCAAGATGGCGTCTTCCTGCAAAAAACATTTGAATAGTATATCTACAGTAAATCACGATAATAACGAAGTACCTGGAACGAACAGCTTTAATTTGTTGTAAATGAAGTATCAGGTAGTATATGGGGATAACTAACAGTAGTTAATTTAAAAGCTTAGAAGTCCATTCAATCAATACAAATCAGGAGCGGTGCAAGCACGAACCGGATCAGGTGCCATGAAGGAGTGAACATCCCCTACTGGCCGATTAATTCTTTATATCTGATAATTTCTTAATAAATGTTAACAGTGCAGGGAATTTATTTAATAATTTTTTAGTGTAAGTTTAAATTTATTATAAATGTGTTTGCTGTAACCATGTTCTACTGGATTGGTTTTAAACACAATTTTGTATGTATGTGGTAACAATGAAAACAGCTTACTCGATGAGAACATAGACCACTGGGATGAAACATAGCATCCACGTCAGCAGTAACAGAAACAGGTAGAAGTTGCCAGATCGGGATGCCCGGAACATTTTTTTGGGCGGAATGTTGGCAAAGCGTGCCACAAAATAGCGGAAGTAAAATACAATGAACAATTTGACGGTGGCTACCAGCGCCATTAATGGTGAGAAATACAGCGCCAGCCACACCAGGCCCTGTCCATACACCAGATCCAGAACGTTAGATGTCACCGCGAACTCACTGTAGTTAATCTGGAATGTGAACTATTGTATTATTAAGTAGTTTCGGGTTTTAGGCACTGTAAAAATTACTTTTGGACATTTCAGTTGCAAGTTGACAAACATGAATAAATAGGAAATTGTCAAATGAAAATCATGGAAAACGATTTTTAATTTTATTTATTTTATTTTACTTTTTTCGTGTTATCAAGCAAATGGTAAAAGAAAACTATTTCAGTCGATCATGCCTCAAATGCACTTTTGCCGTAACGTGGAACAAAACGCCGCATACCTTGCAACAGCACGTCCTGGTTTTTATGAAAATGGCCTTTACAACATGGAAGAGTAGCCCGACCGCGATACACACCCCTAGATCCACCAAGATCAGTTTAAAAATCTCCTCCCCCACCACATTCTCCCAGCAGCAGTAGGTGACGAGAGATGAAGCGTTGGAAGGTGCAGGGGAGGAATTTGTGGCTCCGGTGGCACCAGTAGAGGGGAGGGTAGTTGGGGAGTTTTTCCCTGGTGTCTAGAAATGAAAATAAACCAGATTGATTTGATTTATACCATCAGTTGCAGTACCCTCACTACCTCAAACAAAACGAAACAAAACAAAGTTTTATTCCCTTGCAGTAACCTTACTGTGCTTGTCTGTGGGTTTTGTCCGTCGGCACATTCCGCTTCCTTTGTGAGTGAAACAATAAACACGACCAAACTTGCGTAATAGAAGAATGTTGTTCTGAAATGAATTAAACAAATAAAATTATAAGCTGTAAAAAAAAAATTGAACATTTATACAGTTAAATCAAAATGGTTTTCTCTTACCTTGCAAGTGTAACTTTGAATTCTGTACGAGGGTGATAACTTTCTATTTTCACCAGGAGTTCGAAAATGAATGGGACAAAAAGTTTCAGGAAGGCTACAATGACCGCCAACTAGTGAAACACATAATGCATACATTAACAATATACTGCAGTATTGATTACATGTAGATGGTATAATGTACCTGATATGTACGGAAGAACGAACAAACTTGCTTGATAATGTTCGAAAGGTTTACTCGAGTTGAGTTAACCGAGGGTTCATTACGTAACCAAGCGCTTAGTTCCACACATAGAAACCCGAATCTCTTAAATTTTTGAACATTTCTTTTGTGAAAAAAGGAAGAAAATAATGTTAAGGATTTTGACTTGCCCTGTATCGTTCGTAGATTTTCTGTACAAGATCCTCTGGCTCGTCATCCAGATCGATATCCTCTTGACTCGTTTCTTTCTCGGCGACATAATAGATCAGGTAACCACTGCCTGCCAGTAACCCCAGCACAAGTATGTTACTGACCAGCCGACCAAAGTACATACCAAGTCTGAAAACAGCATTAAGTGGCCATGTTCATGTAAGGTAAACATTTAAGGGGGTGGGGTGTGGGTATGAGTGCACATGCAAGAAAGTTATACCTCTTTAGGCAATCAACTACTTCTAAGGACTTTTCTTCCCGTATCTTTTCCTAAGGTAAAAAAAATCAACATAGAAAATGTAAAACAAAAATATGTTTTAAAGGCAAGTTTATCTTCAACTCAGACTTCTTTTTGTCCAGTATCTGTGTTACTGATTCTTCTGATAAAAAAGATAAGAAAAACAGTTGAAATATTGCCTAACTTTTAAGTGTGTACAGAATGCTGTCAGATGATCTTTGACCCCGTCCTTGGTGTTGATAGTGAAATCAAAGTAACAGAGGGTGGACCACGTAAACGGGAAATCACTGCCCGTGTCTGACAGCTTGCTCTTTCTATATCGCACGTACATGCTGGAACCAAAGCAAAACAGTTTCAACCAAGATAGAACAAAAATTTAAAAAGGAACTTACTAGAAACTAGGAATGGCAAAAGTGAACCGAAAAATCGGTCGGAAATATTGCAACCGTTTACAGATTTTATAACCGTTTAGCCGCTATTTTTTGCAAGAGGTTCACTTTACTTTTTAACTTAAAAGTTTAAACATACCTTGATGCAAGGTACAAAACAGTCAGAAGATTCACAGATGCCCAGGTCAAAAAGTAGGATAATGGAAGGTCGAAACCATCCACCTGATCTCTGTATATCCCATAGAAAAGTAAACTGTAGGACAGATCTCCCTACAAGGGAAAACATTTACATCGTAAATTCTAGGATAGCTATCACAAGTTATATTTAATTAATACTCTCTCTCTCTCTCTCTCTCTCTCTCTCTGACTTACAAAATGTCCAAACGTTTTGTTTCCATTTTCCCTCTGGTCCAGTAAAAACTCTCCAGTTGTAATCTACAAAAAACAAATCAGACTGCATTGTAAAGGATGCTGATATACTGGTTATACTGTACTAAAACTACGTGTCATTACCTGTGGTACACCGGTTTATACTGTACTAACACCGGTACCACGGTTTATACTGTACTAACTACATGTCATTACCTGTGGTACACCGGTTTATAAAACATTTACCTGTGGTACACCGGTTTATACTGTACTAACAACATGTCATTACCTGTGTTACACCGGTTTATACTCTCTCTGTCATTACCTGTCTCTCTCTCTCTCTGTGGTACACCGGTTTATACTGTACTAACAACATGTCATTACCTGTGGTACACCGGTTTATACTGTACTAACACCGGTACATGTCATTACCTGTGGTACACCGGTTTATACTGTACTAACACCGGTACATGCCATTACCTGTGTTACACCGGTTTATACTGTACTAACACCGGTACATGTCATTACCTGTGTTACACCGGTTTATACTGTACTAACACCGGTACATGTCATTACCTGTGTTACACCGGTTTATACTGTACTAACACCGGTACATGTCATTACCTGTGTTACACCGGTTTATACTGTACTAACACCGGTACATGTCATTATTACCTGTGGTACACCGGTGTTTATGTCACTGTGGTTCACCGGTTTACTAACACCGGTACATGTCATTACCTGTGGTACACCGGTTTTTATACTGTACTAACACCGGTACATGTCATTACCTGTGGTACACCGGTTTATACTGTACTAACACCGGTACATGTCATTACCTGTGTTACACCGGTTTATACTGTACTAACACCGGTACATGTCATTACCTGTGGTACACCGGTGTTTATACTGTACTAACACCGGTACATGTCATTACCTGTGGTACACCGGTTTATACTGTACTAACACCGGTACATGTCATTACCTGTGGTACACCGGTACACCACTGGTTGTATACACCGGTTTATACTGTACTAACACCGGTACATGTCATTACCTGTGTACACCGGTTTATACTCTACTAACACCGGTACATGTCATTACCTGTGGTACACCGGTTTATACTGTACTAACACCGGTACATGTCATTACCTGTGTTACACCGGTTTATACTATACAAACACAGGTACATGTCATTATATTTGGTACACCGGTTTATACTGTACTAACACCGGTACATGTCATTACCTGTGGTACACCGGTTTATACTGTACCAACACCGGTACATGTCATTACCTGTGTTACACTGGTTTCTACTGTACCAACACTGGTACATGTCATTACCTGTGTTACACTGGTTTATATTTTACTAATACTGGTACATTTCATAACCTGTGGTACACCGGTTTATATTTTACTAATACTTGTACATATCATTACCTGTGTTACACTGGTTTATATTTTACTAATACTTGTACATGTCATTACCTGTGGTACACCGGTTTATATTTTACTAATACTTGTACATATCATTACCTGTGGTACACCGGTTTATACTGTACTGACACCGGTACATGTCATTACCTGTGTTACACTGGTTTATACTGTACCAACACCGGTACATGTCATTACCTGTGTTACACTGGTTTATACTGTACTAACACCGGTACATATCATTACCTGTGGTACACCGGTTTATACTGTACTAACACCGGTACATATCATTACCTGTACTAACACCGGTACATGTCATTACCTGGTACATGTCATTACCTGTACACCGGTTTATACTGTACTAACACTGGTACATGTCATTACCTGTGGTACACCGGTTTATACTGTACTAACACCGGTACATGTCATTACCTGTGGTACACCGGTTTATACTGTACTAACACCGGTACATGTCATTACCTGTGGTACACCGGTTTACACTGTACTTACACCGGTACATTTCATTACCTGTGTTACACCGGTTTATACTGTACTAACACTGGTACATGTCATTACCTGTGGTACACCGGTTTATACTGTACTAACACCGGTACATGTCATTACCTGTGGTACACCGGTTTATACTGTACTAACACCGGTACATGTCATTACCTGTGTTACACTGGTTTCTACTGTACTAACACCGGTACATGTCATTACCTGTGTTACACTGGTTTCTACTGTACTAACACCGGTACATGTCATTACCTGTGTTACACCGGTTTATACTGTACTAACACCGGTACATGTCATTTTCTGTGGTACACCGGTTTATACTGTACTAACACCGGTACATGTCATTACCTGTGGTACACCGGTTTATACTGTACTAACACCGGTACATGTCATTACCTGTGGTACACCGGTTTATACTGTACTAACACCGGTACATGTCATTACCTGTGGTACACCGGTTTATACTGTACTAACACCGGTACATGTCATTACCTGTGTTACACTGGTTTATACTGTACTAACACTGGTACATGTCATTACCTGTGGTACACCGGTTTATACTGTACCAACACCGGTACATGTCATTACCTGTGTTACACTGGTTTCTACTGTACCAACACCGGTACATGTCATTACCTGTGTTACACTGGTTTATATTTTACTAATACTGGTATATTTCATAACCTGTGGTACACCGGTTTATATTTTACTAATACTTGTACATATCATTACCTGTGTTACACTGGTTTATATTTTACTAATACTTGTACATGTCATTACCTGTGGTACACCGGTTTATATTTTACTAATACTTGTACATATCATTACCTGTGGTACACCTGTTTATACTGTACTGACACCGGTACATGTCATTACCTGTGTTACACTGGTTTATACTGTACCAACACCGGTACATGTCATTACCTGTGTTACACTGGTTTATACTGTACTAACACCGGTACATATCATTACCTGTGTTACACCGGTTTATACTGTACTAACACCGGTACATGTCATTACCTGTGGTACACCGGTTTATACTGTACCAACACCGGTATATGTCATTACCTGTGTTACACTGGTTTATACTGTACCAACACCGGTACATGTCATTACCTGTGGTACACCGGTTTATATTTTACTAATACTGGTACATTTCATAACCTGTGGTACACCGGTTTATATTTTACTAATACTTGTACATGTCATTACCTGTGGTACACCGGTTTATATTTTACTAATACTTGTACATGTCATTAGCTATGGTACACCGGTTTATATTTTACTATAAAGACTTGTAAACGTCATTACCTGTGGTACGCCGGTAAATGAGAATAAAATTATCCCGGTTAACAGGTTCAGAAAAAACAGAGTCCTCAGAAATGTGAAGTAGGAAGCCACTGTGCTGCCAAAGTACGCTGAAAGAAAGTGGAAAAAATATGCATTAATTCTAGAATGTCATTAGAAAATATATTTAAGGAGCTCACAATTTTCTCACTGTCATTCTTTAACCAAACATACTACATCAGCCTTATTCATCTTAACTGCAACCAAAAGAGGGGGGGCAGACCTTCAATGAACAATTGCTATGGCAAAATATTATATATGGCAAAAGGTGGGATTAATGCTACGTGCCTGACGTTAAAAATGCCACGTTATATTTACCTGTTAATTTGGTGATGGAAGATTCCCATAGGTGTAAGAAGACTGTGTTGTTTTTCCTTGACTAGAAATTAAGAATTAACGAACTTCAACAATGGCTTTATGAATTCAAATAGAACAAGCAATATAATAATTCAAGTTCACTTTATTTGGATGCATGTACTTTCAAGACATACTTTAGAGCTGATGTACTTCTGTGAAGTTTGTTCTCTTCGTCTATTGACATGATCCGTCGTTAGTATTCTGTATAGAAATACCATGAGATTAAATATCGAGGGAAAACATTTATAAGTTTACATAATTTTGATTCCTTAACATACAGTGTATACGAGTGTTATTAATAATTTTACGGGCAACATCTAACCGTCGAAGTCTTAATTTTTGCTTCATCGGCAGAGGCACCTCCCTAACCCCTTCCAGGATGTCCTCTTTGAATTTCAGTTTGTCCTGTCCCGTCAGGCGAGCCTGGGATTCTGATATCAGGTGTTCTGAATCTAAACTAAAGATAAACCACAAACCACGTTTTCAAATGAACATCTTATGAATAAAATACCTGTATGAGCAAGTTGTAGAAAATTAAAATTGATTTCAAGTCAAATGCATGGTTAATTTTCAAAAATATTTGGCAGCCAGGAATTTGCAACTCTGAGAAATTTGGAACTTACTCTGGGTCGAGAAATCCATAGCGAAGCCGGTATAAAATATCAGAGGCGGATTCAATTTCTCCAACACTTCTACCACTGTTGGAGTCTAATAATATATCACAAGTTCATTAAATATGCTACGATATTAATTCTAGCTTAAGATAATGAAAATTGGGTCTGACTGTCAGTTTATTTTTTAACTTGCTCAAAAATTCTACTAAGTTTAGCTTTTGTTACAGAGCACATGGTGGAATGAAGTGTGACCCCCACCCCCTCCCCGGGCAATAATTTTACTGAAACATAATATATTATACTATAGAAACAAAGCTACTTTATGGATGTGCTTCCTCAATAACGTTTTTGCTTGATGTAGACTTTCTGTTTGATAGAGCCCATTGCTGAAATAATTTGTTGCATTCATCAATTAAAGAGAATCTGTAGAACAGCAGCTCCGTCAGAAACCTATAGCACCTACCCTCTATCCCGCCATTTTCCAGTTCTTCGTATTTTTCAGAGAACGCAGAATTGTCATATTCGTACTCCTCCGTGCTGAAATCAACAGTCTCATCCCTAACTCCGTAATTTCTTCTCTTATTTTGACCCTTTTGAAACAAAAGGGAGTTTTCATCGAATTCCATACTCCCCAAAATCACGAAAAACTACATATCCACTGACATTTTTAATATGACGAAACTTTAAACATCAACTTCCTATATCTGGATCAAAACAATCCACATGATATCTTATCTATAACAAATCAGTGATACTGATAAATATGTGGCTAATTTACATTTGGTCCTTTCAGTCTGATAGGAAAGTGTATGACTTGTGGTGACCCCCCTTCCCGGTTGATTTTGGATTCTTCAATAATCAGATGTTAATACAGAGGCAAATCTGTATAGCTCACTGGTCTGAAAAATTTGTGAAGTTTGTGAATATATAAAAAAATTTTCGGAGAGCTACAACTTTGCAGCTACTGTTACTTGATATGTAAAAATCTTACAAAAGATTTTATTTGGTGGAAAAAAAGAAACTCGAAAGACCTGTGCTTGTGCACGAAAGGGGGAGTGAGGTGGTATCCGTCAAAAGCACTTGTTTAAATTAAAGAACTATCAAAGTATCGAGAATACAACTGATCTTACATCTGTCACACAATATATGAAAAATTTCTAAGCAATGCGTTTTTTTTCTTTTTTTTTGGGGGGGGGGGGGTTAAAAGTTAATCCATGATGCGGTTTCAATGGGAAACAGAGGACAAATAAGACTTTATTACAGCCTTGTGAACAGCTCCAGGGAAAAGACACTCGAGAATTTTTTTAATAGGAGGAAAATAATTTTGTGTTTCAGATAGATTTTCATACTTTCCACATTTCATTTTACGATTACAATATATATCTTAGATAGATATGTTCAGATTACGTTTGTTGTATAGAATAACTTTTATAATACACTAGTCCTTGGCTATAAAACATTCACTAGTACCATGAACTAAGACTGGTTGATAATCTCAAGCCCCAGTGAAAGACAATCTATCATTAATTCAATTGATGACTGATGGTTTTTAAACTAATTGCTAGTCCATTATTTGCACACTGAATTGTCCACGGAATTTTCAGTTATTTCCAGACTAAGACAAGGAGTACATGGGAGGGGAGGGGGGGTGTTGACTGGTCAGCAGGGGATAATAACTCCTCAATGACAGTTGATCCCTTCTCTGATGTCTTAAAGGTGCCTGTTTGCTCTGCTCAAAAACTTTTGTTTAATGGACTTTTGAGCTTGAATACTGTTCATCATCTCCACATACTAGTACTTCATTGCTAAAATGCAAAATACCCTCTCCCTCCCCCAATTTTGTATTTGCCCAATTATGCTTAACGAGTAACAGCACTTTATATTTAGTATTAAATCTTGTAATAATTAGAACTGATGATATGTTTTAAACAATGGTAAAAATATACCAGTAAACAGCATTCACAATCGCTTTGAACAAAAAATAAGAAAGTTCAAGCAAAGCCTTTTATTACGTTAACTTAGGCAAACAAACATTAGAAGGGAACAATACGGCAGTTAGCATGCATGGTGTAAGATTCCTACTCCTCTACCTAACAAGTAGGGTACAACTAATGAAAAATTCAGTATAAAATCAACATAGCAGCACACTTTCTAAATTCAATATAATATTAAATCTACATTGTACACATGGATAAAGGATTAGTTATCAAACAATATCTTTTTTGTAGACTTTATGTTGGCAACTTTGGAATACATTCATCAATACTTGAGCTAAAATAACAGGAGAATGACCAAATACAGAAATCTGAGTTCGCCTTCAGACAAAACTCTAGCACTATTTCTGCGCTGGGAGATGGGTTTGTTTGGGAAACATAACCCCACACACATCACTCACACATATCAAACAGTCGCAAATAAACAAAAACACACTTATTTTCTAAATACAACTAGCAATCAAACATTCTACAATTTCACATTTTCTAAAGGACATATATAAAAGTGTAAACAAATAGGATCAAACATAAAGTTTATCTTTCAGTCTACACACATCCATCCTTATTCCAAAGTTGCCAACAAAGTACATTTGTTTCTTTCTTCCTTTCAATCCACATCAATCAGAAACATTTCAACAAAGACAAGTTTTTTTTGAGTTGTCTCATTCAAAAGATCAACTCTAGCACTAATTTGTCTGGGAGAGGATATAAAACATTTCCTCAAGTTCATATCAGAACTACACATATTACTGTTACGGACTAGCATATTTAGTTAACATTATACATCATTAGCAGTTACAAAATGGTAAACAATCTACATACAACATAATAACATGGATTTACAGAACTTAATAACTTGGTGAATTCATTTATCAACATTCAAGAAAAAAAACTAATGTGTTGCTTATCACATATATATAGACAGAACATCTTCCATCCTGCACCATTTGAACCATATTTTCAACATAGGATATAAGTAAAATTTGGGGTAAAACATGTTAACAACCAAAAAACTGTGTGCTGAAATGTTGATTTTATTTTCCTACTTGGAATGTTGTTCTTGTGTTGTAAGGTCTTTATTATGATCAAGTCCCAAGTTTCTACTTAAAGCAAACATAATCAAAAACAGCAATTGTATAAAGACAAATTTCATAAATACAAGAATATGTTTATCTAAACGAAATAAGTGTCTTAGAATTATGCTAATTTTCTAGTACGGGTAGCGGAATTTTTCCCCGGCGTATTTGGCTCCTGCTCCTAATTCCTCCTCAATGCGGAGAATCTGGTTGTACTTGGCTAAACGTTCAGATCGGCAAGGGGCACCTGTTTTAATCTAAAATGTAATAGCAAAAGTTAAAAATCAACTATTTCAGCAGCATTCCTTTACATTTTAGAGGTGGATTAACTGTCCTACACTCTAACATTTAAATGGAACAGACAAGAGAACTGTGAATCACTAAATTTTGGTGACACCTTATTTTCAAGAGATAGTTAAAAACTTTTTATTAGCACAACAAATTTTTCATGAAATATGGCTATTGCTCTATAAATACAAGCATGTGTGAAAATGAAATTTTTGTGAGAACACTGTCTTGCATAATTACATGATAATAAAATTCTCACAAATAAAAGGTGATTTACACTGATTTGTGATATGAATATTAAAATATCCATCCATCTAAGATAACATTCTAATTCCTGACCTGTCCGGTACAGAGTCCGACTACCAGATCTGCAATAAACGTGTCCTCTGTCTCTCCACTTCTGTGGGACACCATCACTCCCCAGTTATTCTCCTTGGACATCTTCCATCTGTAATGAACATCAGTGCTTATGTACGTGGCTTCATACCATTTCATGACAAATTAAAACTTCTACAAATCTATGACCCTAAACTTGATTGGTTCCAATGATATATCTAAAACAAAGATCTTATAATGGATGAAATATAACACTCAGAATGGAAATTTAACCTCATATTTCAACTTATCAATAAGAAGGTTGTTACAATTTGTCCCAATTTAAAAATACCCCTATAATCCTGGTAACTTACGCCTGGATTGACTCCGTGACACTGCCAATCTGGTTGACCTTTAGCAGGAGACAGTTACACGCCTTGATGTCGATACCCTTCTGGACTCGCTTGGGATTTGTGACCAGTAAATCATCTCTGGACAAAGAATTCAGATCATAAGTTGACAACAAAATGGAACCCAAAGCTAATTTTATATCTTTTCAAGATATTTCAAAAAATGAGCCTTTAAAATTCTAGATGCATTGAGAAAACTTACTACACGACAGCTGCTAAAATTATCAACATGGAGTTTAATATATAGTTTGTGATTAAAATAACACTTTAAGACAAAATTTTATGCCGTTTAGAAACTAATAGTTTTGACTGGTTTTAGACAAAACTCATGACATTCATTAAGTTTTTATTTTTCAACTATAGGGAAAGAAAAAAAAATCTATTTGCTAGAAGTTGCTTTCATTATAAGTATGTTTGATTTAACCACATTCTATTGTATCATGACTTTATAGTTAACTCATTTGAAAATTTTTATCTTGTACTTGGTAACCCCAAATTTGTACAGAATGGTCTTCACAGTACACAGAACTTGTTTCTCACCCCATTATCTGGATTTGTACTGCAATATCATAAATTTCGATTCTATGATGTAAAATATGTTAAGGCCATTTGCGGGGTTTTTTATCACAACATGATAAACACAATCATCAAAATTTAAATCTGGATTTATACAGAGGAACTGTTGAAAGAGAGTTTATTGCCTAAAGTTGTCCGAAGCAAGGTATATGTCCGATCATGGTGAACTCACAATCTGTGTATTTGTACTAAAATTATGAGACTAGCAAAGTCCAAGGACTAACGATTTTGACTGGTTTTAGAAAAAACTCAAAACATTCATTCAGTTTATATTTTTCTATCTATATGGAAAGAAAAAAATCTCTTTGCTAGATGCTGCTTTCATTTTAAGTATTTTTGTTTTAGACACCACAATCTGACTTTATTGATTTCTTTTTCTTGTACTGGTAGACTTGATAAGTTTTAAATTTTTACTATGCTTCACCCCACTATCTGGATTTGTACCGAGGCTGTTAGTTTGGAGTAGGCTTCCCAATCATCCTGATCGTAAGGATCCTCAATAGACACAATAGGATAATTGGAAACAAAGCCTCTGTATATGTCTGCCAACTGGTCAGAAGTGATCTGTCAAACAGAAATTAGTGTCAATATAGAGGAAATTTCAAATTTTCTGTATAGGCCATGTACTTATACAAAAATATTTTAACATTAAGAGTCACAAATTTGTTGAATAGAAAAATACATTTTTTTCTGTTCTGTTATATCAATATCCAGCAAAGAAGATTAAATATTATATTTACCCAATCAGCTGGATTAGACTTTGGATTTTTAAAGTCTAGGTCATATTTCCCCTCCTTACAGAACTCTGATGCTGCAACATCCATGCCAATTTTGATTTTACCAGTGTACCCTGCCTTTTCAATAGCCTCCACCAACAAATCCAGACCTAACAAAGAAAATTGTATTATGTAAATATAAATTTGCTTTTTTTCCTTTAGCTATCTAAAACCATCTATACTATATTGTAGTTATGACAATAATCAATGAATTAGGGATGCAAGCAATAATGATAAAAATTTAAACAAACCTACAAACTTAAAATTGAGACCCACATCTGCTTTATCATAAAAAATATCCAATTGGGGGATTTAAAAATTTATTTTTTTGTTTTGTTTCATTACTGTATAAAATGTGACAACATTGAAAAAAAATGAAATTCATAACATATAATTCATATATTTTAACAGTATCTATATTTATTTATTAGAAATCTGATCCCCAATTTTTAAACCAAACTGAACTGTCCTTGGAAAACTGAGTCATACATGGAAGCAATACATGGAACATTGAATGGATCTATCAAAAGAGACTGAGATAAGAATATACCTTCCTTGTTGTCTTGAATGTTTGGAGCAAAACCTCCCTCATCTCCCACATTACAGGCTGAAAAAAAAAAAGAAATTCTAATTATGCACATTCTAATTCTAAATAATTTCCAGATCATAACTGAAAACATGATTTGTAATTAACACATGACAATAACTCTCACCATCTTGGCCATATTTTTTCTTTATAACTGCTTTCAGATGGTGATAAACCTCAGATCCCATTCTCATGGCCTCCTTGAAAGAGCTGGCACCTACAGAAATGTCAATATAAAATCTCCATAAACTCTACAGCAATTTTCTTACGAAATTCAACAATAAAACAATATTTAACAAAACAATATCTGTCATACCAGTACATATATACATTTGTTACACAGTTCTAGTTCAGCATACCTGTTGGGAGAATCATGAACTCCTGCATGGCCAGTTTGTTACCAGCATGGCTGCCTCCATTGATGACATTGAATGCTGGGACGGGAAGAATGACCTCCTTGTTTCCGGCAAGATCAGCAATGTGGCGGTAAAGGGGAACTCCCTATTGATGAAAATCCATGAGCTTAATTTCATAGGAATATATATCCTTAGTAAAGAATAACATTTCAACATCTCATCTACTTATCAGGGAAAATTCTTTTCGGTACTTACTTTTTTGGCAGCCCCAGCTTTACAAACAGCTAGGGAAACACCCAGAATGGCATTTGCCCCCAATTTACCTAAAATAAAGATAGTACATTTATTCAAATATTCTTAAAGTTAAACAGAATTCTCTGATGAGACTATAGCTCTACTTGCTTTTAATTATATAGTACTAAAAGTGTCAGACTGCACCTGAAGTTTACTTAAGTTTGAATCCAGTACATGGAATACGTACTTTTGTTTTCAGTTCCATCCAGACCTAACAAGAATGTATCCACCGCTGTCTGGTCGGCTTCATCTAAACCCTAGATATCAAAACAGAATCTCATATAAAGAAATTCACATTTAGTGCCAACATTCAACAATTATTAACAGAATAGTTTCAATCAGAGATATACAATGATAGGTAACTGAATCAGTAAACATAGGTTTACAAGAATACATGATAAATATAGCATTACGTCTGAAACTACTTTTATAAATTTTGAAAGCTGTTGCTTATATCAATGTTTCTGTTTGCAATACAATCACATCTTTCAAGCCTGCTGCAACTTCATTTTACCAACTTTAATTTTAATATTCAAAATATTGAACATCTTTTGTTAATTTTCAATATGTAACCTACAATCTAAACCTATAAAACTTACAGATTTGATAAGGGCAGGTGCAATAACGTTATTCACATTATTGATAGCATTTGAAACACCTGAAACAAAGAAAAGATACAAGTTAGTTCATAGTACATTTTAATTGAAAAGCGATACAGATTCTTTATATTTTGCCCAATGCTTTGTGTAACCTACCTTTCCCGTGGTAAAACTTGGGGTCCTTATCTCTCATTTCCAGAGCCTCGTAAATACCGGTCGACGCCCCACTGGGAACAGCTGCTCGGAACATTCCTGTTAGACAGAAAATCTTGATAGATGGTCTCTCCATTCTTAAAATTCCCTTTTCTAGTTTTATTACTAGGAGTTTATAGTTAATAATTTTTCTCTTTATCAAGAACTAAATTCATTTCATTATGAGAATGTAAAATATTGCCATTCAACTATTTTTTGGCTATCCTAAAATGAACAATACATCAATAAAGTAAACCACTTTCATGTCACCAACCTTTTTCTGTTGTAACATCTACCTCCACTGTAGGGTTGCCTCTACTGTCAAAAATTTGACGGGCCAAAACTTTTGAGACTGGCATAATGGATATGTTTCTGTCAAAACAATAAATAAGAGAAATCTAAACACTAAACAGTCTGTAAAACAGACATTAATACATTCTGAAAAAGTGTTTCCGTAAAGTTTTTGGAGTGAAAGGTTTTCACAGTCTCAAAAAGATCTGTTATTATTAATTTGAGTTACTTTCAATGTAACCTCATTTATTTTCTTTCCAAAACCGTTTCGAGTGGTTCTGCAATTTACTGCAACATTACGGGTATATAGGAGGTAAACTGTGGTGAGGGCCTGTCACGATAGTCAGATTATTTTAACTAATACTGCAATTAATGAGCCATCAACGTGTTCGTCTCGTAAAAGAATAGCAGTCCAAGATGGTATTCTCCATTGAGTTGTTTTAGTAGTTGGTGTTTGAATTTTATATTGCAAATTGTTATGCTCCAGCAGCAAGTCCTTTTGATAGAATGTTCTATCGTGTAAAATGTTGAATATCATACAGACCCAGTTTAACTATAGAATGCGTTCTGTGTACTGGAAATATGGCAAAGAAAAAACAGAAGATAACTCTAACTCTTGTAAACATAGTGTTAATTTAAAGCAAGAAAAGTCATTGAGAAAATGAGTTGAATTTTCGTATTAAAAATATGGGTTTTTTAAAAGTTAAAAGGCATACACAACCTCAGAAAGGATTGTTGTAATTAATTTTGTAGTTATATTTAGTGCAAATCCTTTGTATACACTTAAAATCATTTAGGAGCGAGTCTGCAATTTTATGCTACATTGCGAATATATAGGAGGCATTCTACCTGTGTTAAGGGCTTGTCCTGAGACACTGTTAGATTATTTTAACTATAAGACCATGTGATCAGTTAATTCATTAAACAATTAAAGTTTTGATATGATCCATGTGCCCCCCCTTCTTTCTTCAGCACCAGGAAGCATTTCTAGGGTTTTGTTATAAAAATACAGAGCGTTTTCACAATTCACCGTTAACACTAAAATCTGTTTATGAATGCAAAAACAATGCAAGCTCCTGCAAATTATGCGACGGCCTTGAACATAGAAATTGATGAAGCATTGAAGGTGAAATGTGCACGACCTATTCAAGGCCTCCACACGTAACATCAAAATGTGGGCTTGACAGGTACTTAGGAAGGGGGATTTTGAATAGAAGGGTACAAATGAATATAACAAAGGCAAAATTTACCAACTGGTGAATGCTTCGATGAAATGAACAGAAAAATAAATGACCTACCAACTCTCAGTCTGCTTCACGAGTCGGAAGTTTGATCAATTTGTCAAGCCAAATCTCGGGTGAACTCTCGTGCAACTGGAAGCGTCCCCTAGCGAAATAACGGGACATTAGCATGGAAGTAGGAGGCAAGTCATCCGCTTAAAAAATGTAAACATTGTCGTTTTTTCCAACAATTTGGGATCATGTGAGCTGAGTTGAGCAAGAAAATAAACAAACATGAAGCCGACAATAGATTTTAAAGAGTGCCTGAAAGATTCTCCGAAATTTCGGTAAGAAAAAATAGGAAAAGTGAGTTCGAATATAATCATGACTGTATTATGACTGTATAGTGTATAGTCAGATAGTTTCAATGGATGTTTGCATCGGTTTAAATGCACACTAGGGGTACTACAAATTAGTTACAGTACCCAATAGTTTCCAGTATTAAGTTTAGTAGAAATTTTACATAGATTCTTTTAGTTTGGATTTAATTTCAACATTTCCCCCCAGTCATTTTTTTCCTTCTTGATTAATATTTTGGACTAAAGGTTAAAAAAAACTTGATTATTTATGTCAGGATTGTTTGTAATCTGGTGTATCATCATACCTGTACATTTAATTGTGCAATCGTTTAAGGTGAGTGCAGATACCTATTCAGATTTAATTTAGAGTGGGCTCGTCAAACCGCATGTGATATTTTCTACGTCCATAGACTCTGACGTCACATGACATTGTATGTAAGTTGCATTACCAAAAGATAGCCTGAACAGTGCCGATTTTAACGACGAACGTTTCATTTACAATTTATCTTCAATGAAGCCATTAAATCAAAACGAGTTTACTTTCTGTTGATCTGTTGTTGTTATTCTCGCAAGAAGGTAACTTTAACAAGCGATGCATTGTGGGTCCAAAGCTACTGTGGAAAAAAATTAATTAATGTGTAGAAGTCAGAACTTTCTTTTCGCCCAGTCAGTGTCCGTAGAGCTCGCAGTGACAAGCAAAACTTTGTGTGGCTCGCTGCACTTGCTATTACTTTTAAACTTGAATGTATAATGTTCCACAATTGGGGTTGTTTCTAAGAATTGAAATAACAAGGGATATTGGATTTTGAGGTCCCTCCCCTAACGGGGGATAAAGGGGGAATAGAGAATAGTGGGGGAGTATTTCATCCTAGATGCGGAAATTCCTTGGGTCATAGGGACAACCCTGCACAATTGCTCCTTTAGCAGTTTGGGCTTTACGGACCTTGAATATATTGGCCTGGGTAGCTCAGCGGTAGTCTAGAGCACTTAGTAATGCAGGGGTCCCTGGTTCAATGCCTGTTCCAGCCATATATTTCCTTTATAAATCTCTCTTTTCTTATTACATTTGGTTGCCAGTTTTAGGGGCCTCGTTCTAGTTATTTGTAAACTAGTATTTCCTGACAGGGCCTGTGAACTTGTGTCTTCAAGGTTGAGGACTGTTTTAGGAGAAAGGAAGTAATTTGGGCTATACAGACTGTGGATTTATCATTTCATCATTTCACTAGCTTTTTTCAGCACTTGCTTAATATATTCACAGAGCATGGACAGGAATACAATAGTTCAGAGTAATACAAATATAAGCTATAAAAAAACTTAATTATTTCCTGTCACAGGATCTTTTGCTGAATGAGAATTTGCAATGTTTGCATAACATACTTGCTGCCTTTTGGGTCATTGTTAAGGTTGAATTTAAAAGTATTTAGTTGATCCAGTTTGTATTTTTCCTGAATGTGTGAGGCATTATGTACCCTGGCTAGGAATTATTTCAATATGACAAATGGTACCCAGTAGTCCGGGGCTATTTTGTAAATTGTTTGAAAGACATATATTTATATGAACACATTGTCATGCACTAATTTCTTATCAATTAATTGAAGTTTTTAGCATTAACCAAAAGATATATTTATGTTTGTGTTCATTGTGAATTGCAGGGTATTTATTTTCTGTTGTTTACTTTTTTTTTGTCATTGCTTTATAGTAAATATAATATGATTATAATTATTTACTTTTTATCTTTGATTTTTTATAAAATTATGCCATACATTGGTGAAACTGAGAGTTAGACTGTATATAAATAAATGATACAAGTTTGAACATTCCCTATAAAAGTTCTGGAAAATGTGAATGGCAAATTCAAATCACTTTCCCCTATTTCCTTATTTCTATTGAAAATTTTAAGGATCAATATTTCATTTATGTTGTGCAGGTACATTTGAGTAGAGCAGGTGATTTTTGTTCTTTTATTTTAATTAATGTCCATTCCTCATTCTGATATGTTTTGATTTTCATGATCATCACAGAATTTAATGCATTACATGGCTGAGATAATTTATTCTTATAAGACGTACACTTGCTTTCCTTGAAGACTTCAAGTATATTACCAGGTTTGCAGCCCTGTATTCAAACTAGAAATATAAGAATCAATGACAGTCTGTCAAATGCCTGCTATGAGCAAATAACTTAAAACTTTCTAAATTCAGGAAATTTCTGTGTTGAATTAATTCCAGGTTGTAGACACCAATGCTGCTATAAAGTCTTAATTAGTCTGTGGAGTCTTGGAGTACTGGCAATGTGCTCCTGTCTGGGTTCTTTACCAGACTGATTTTTCACATGGAGGAAACATTTGTATAATCAATTGCATTAGGCTCCTGCTTCAGATAGGCACACATTAACAGAGGGAAGTGTTTATATTATTCATCAAAGAGGAATCATAGCATTCATGGTGGAGATCACACTCTGTTTATTGCCAGGTTTTTTTAATTGAGGGGCATTCTGGATTTTATAGTCCCCCTCATCAGGAAATGATTGTTTTAAAATAAATTATATTTAAAGCTTGGTAGTACTCCAGCACAAACTTTTTATATATTTGACAAAAATAACTTTTATGACAAAAATAATAATGCATGGGTTACACACATTTTGATGGTTTCTGGAGTTGATCATTTATTTATATACTGATACAAAATTCAATCAGATCTGTGAATCAAAATCTTGAAAAGGGGTCAATATACCTGTTTATCCTTATGTGTTTTTTTTGGCTCCTCCAGATGGGAACATGTGAAAGTTTTAATTCACAGAGTAAAACGGGTTAAAATTTTGTCAAACACAATCTCTGAGTCTTGGTAGTGTCACTGTAGGAGACAGAACTTCCCATCACATTTAGTCTGCCTCAATCAGGAAATTGTTCCAATTACAAAAAAATATTATGTTAAAAAACATTTAAGGATAATATCATTTTCCCCTTCCATTATTTACATTTTTTGTAAAATTGATATGAAAACTTCCTTTGTGTAATGAATACATTTGTACCTATTCAATTTTGCATTATTCATCACCGAGGGATTGAGACCGAGATTTAGTTTGGTTAATAAAAACAAGGTATCTTGACCAATATATCTTGAAAAAAAATATATGGGTATACTTTTATAGTTTCATATTCTAAATCTTTGCTGTCAAGTTCAGAGTATGTCAAGTAGGTAAACAGACAATTGAGGCACCTCGTACCTGCACAAAGACTGACTACATCACTTACAACATTGAATTAACTGTTAATGAATGTGTAATTTTCATTATTGAATTTATATATTCATACCCCGTGCTTGAAATGTGGGATGGTACATGGATATATTAATCAAGATGTCCGTCTGTACTTTCATCCGTCTGTTACGCTTTGGGGTACCCATCTCTAATCCACAGCTCCTCTCATACCAATGAATGCAGTTTGATGAGACTTTCACAGATTCTTTATTACATATTGCCATCATGCACCTTCTATTTTACTTTTTGATCCAGCACACATTTTGAGTTTCCCATAGCTAAACATGGACACTGCCATTATATTCATATGGGAGGCGGGGAGTCATTTAGTGAGCTCGTGATTGCTCACAGTACCTCTAGTTTAATTGTTGTTGAATTGGTATTTTACAGCACCATTGACCTCTATAAGGAAAACATTAAGATATGGTTGCAATGATTTATTTACGAAGTATATATTATACAATAAAATAGAATGAAATAGAAGTTCAAAGTATTTATTTGAGGAAGACTGTTCCATTAAATTACAATTCCTACAAAAGTAAACAATTAGAGTAACAGGATAAGTGGGAACCATTACTTTAGTTTATTGGTGTCAGTTTGTATATGGAATATACATGTTAGGGTTGTAAGGGGGTGTATCTTACATGTGTTTACATGTGTTATTGTTACCACACCTTTCCAGATGTATGTCACCTAAGTTACTTGTCACATGAACTTGTGTAATACTGGATTAAGTATTAGTTCTCCATTCATCAAAGTTCTCCCAATCTGAAAGGAAGATCTTTGTCTATATATTTTTTTGTAATTGGACATTTTTAACATCCTTTTTAGAATTTATCCTTGATTCGATGTTGCTGTAGATTTCCTGTTTGACCTTACCTATAGAAAGATGCTGCTAAACCTGAGGATTTTTAAATGTACATGTTCTCCTTTAAAACCCATTCATTCCTGATACCAAATCAGTAATTATGATATATAACATAACACATTAAATTGGACTAGCAACGACATGCAGCAGCTTTAATATATTAATAATATACATATTATTAAGATACACAATATAAATATAAGTTGGATTCATTCAAAATTAAACCGTGTTCACAGCTCTACGTGTCGTCCTAAACTGACTTTAACTCACTATCTCTTGAAAAACCGGTTCTATTGAACCGCATGACTGAACATACCTGAACAGGTATTCGAATTGAAAACTTTAAATATCCGGAATAATGCACTCATTATTATTACCAAGTAGAAATTGATTTCTGTCTAATTCGTTCCTCAAACGAAAGAAATCACATTATACATGTATTCTTACCAACAATAACGTATAATTTGTTTTTGTAACAACATTATCCTCTTGCAACAAAGTAAAGGATAACATCTTGACTAAATAAAACAGCAGATAGAGTTTTAACATTTGTATAGATATACATGTGGATGCTCCGCTAGTACATTTGTCCTTACAAACTTAGTCATATTCATTTTGAATTTTCAAGATGAACTATAGCTGAAGGAATGATGAAATTAAAACATATTTAGAATTAGACAAAGTTTAGATCATTAAATAGTGATTAAAGTATGTTCATTAATGAACTTAACCATGTAACATTTACCAGACATTGATTGTGTTTGATGTTGTTTCAGGGCCTCTTTGGAGTCTGCAGAAAATGACATTGATGTCCTGGAAGCCAGGCTAGAAAGAGTGAGATTACACCATTATCAATAATAAAAAATTGTCTGATTCCTGAGAACTCAGTTATTATCAATTGATACAAATTTCGTGCCTTTTATAGTTTTTGCCTAACCTAATGAACTTGGTTCACAAATGTATATCTCTGTATAATAATTTACATGCCCAAGATATTTACTAAATGTATTACACATTTTGTGGTCAACAGCTTATTTGAATTCCTTTTGAAAGTGAAATTTAGTAAACATTGAATTATAACAATAAAAAAAAAAGATTTTTAGTAGATCGATGAAGATATTTGTAAAACCTATGCCTGTTTAATGTTTTTTGCAGCTTGTGAAATTGTGTTCATTGATGATAGAAACCGGGAAATCATTCAAACGAGCCAGTAGGTAAGGTAGCAGAGAATGTTGTCATGGTTAACAGAAACAGATATTGGAGTAAGGTGGTCCATCTCACAGCAGTTAAAAAAAATCTTAAAGTACAGTGTGTTTGCCCACATGCTTTTTAAAGTTTATATGAATAAAATGTAATCAAATATTTTTGCCTTTGAAAACTAACACTCTTTTTTTAAAGAAAAAAAAATGAAAATGATCACATTGAGATATCAAAATTACATACTAGTTAGAAAAAATATAAGCAATACTAAAATATTAAAGGAACAATATGAATTCTGAATTTCATTGACAGCTTATTTTTTTGGCTAAATTTGATTATTTTATCAGTTCTCAGGTTTATTATGCTCATATTTTCAGTGATTTTGTTACTGGTGTGCGAGATTTGGCAGCATATTTTAAAGATGACAACATGATGTCGGTAGGTTTTACATTGTAACCTGTAATCTTTAATATTGTCTTAATGTTCTATCTACAGGGATATAAAACAATAGGTTAAAATCCCAACACAGATTGCTGGAGTACTGTTTTTGTAAAACATGGGTCATTTTCCTGTCAGACCTGCATTTGAACTTTGAAATTGATGTGACCTTTGGAAACATCTTTTTGTTTCCATTCTTTGATATCGGGAATAGGAAATATATTTTAAAAAAACAAAACAAAACATTGTATTGAGTCACGAATCAGGCAGGACTTATTTTTAGATTTAACTGCAGACAAAGGTCAATATCATAGTGGAATAAAATAATGTTTTTCTATGTTACATGTACTTACTCATTTTAATGGTATTCTAAAATTTGATATCTTTTGTTCCAAGGAAGTATGATTAAACCCATAAACTATTTTTTTATGAAGAAATTGCATGGAATTGTTGAAAGGTCACATGTACTGACAATAACACATTTTGTTTTCCTAATGATAGGATGATACAATGGTATCAGTAAGTATCCCACAATGCATTAGGTCTACTTCCTGCTACAGATGCTAACCTTAGCTACTTCTAGCAGGAATGAGACCATGCAGGTTTTGTTCTTTTCTTTTTAGCATGATCACCTTATATTCAGTGCTTTTTCAATACTATCTGTTCCAACAAAGTGATTGAATTAACACACCATATTTCCTGTTCCAAACATATAAATGAAGACATTTCTAATCATTTTCCCACACGGCACTTTACAACACAAACAGCTAGTTGTCAGAGACTTTTTGATTTGCACGGTCTTTAGTTCATTTGACCTAGAAGTATTAGATATTATGAATAGAAAATAGAAAACAGTGAATTTTGTAAAGAAATGGCTATTAAATAGTAAGATTTTACCTATAGCACTTTGAATTAGTGATTTTGATCTCCATGCATTTAATATATGAATATGAAGTAAATGTAGTTTGCAAATGTTTGAAAATGTCCCAAACCAATTGCATTATACACATTGCATGTTGTCTTTTTATTTTGCCTGTCCTGATTGTGTACTGATTTCTTGAATTATATAGCATTCCAGAGTGAGCAGTTAATTGAAAATAACGTGCATCATTATTGAAAGAATATGGGGATGTCTATTTTTGTGCATAACAAGTGCATTGTTGTATTGTTGAAGTACTAAATACATTGTACATGTACAACATTTAAAAAAAAAAAAAAACTATGAATAAATTATAATTTTTATAACTATTTATATACTGATTACTGATAGATTTCAGTATTTATTTTAAAAATGTTATCTGAACTGATGGTTAAACAGCCAAGTGTATTTGATCTATTTTTAAATATTTCTAAGAAAAACTTACTTCAGATGAGCTTTTTTATAACTTATTTATATACTGGTGACCAAGGAAAAATGTTATCTAAAAGGATGGTTATAACTTTTTTAAATATTTCATCACTCTCTTCTCTGTCCTGTGTCAACATATTTTCAACTTCTTCTCAGAACCATATGGCCAATTTCAACCAAGATTGCCACAAAGAGCTGAATGAGATACAAGAATGTTCAAATGAAGTGAAAAAGAATGAAACTATTACTAAATAATAAAAATAAATCTTCTCAAGAACCACTTGGCCAGAAAAGACAAAACAAAAAGTTCAAAATGGAAATCAAAATAAATATTCTGCAGGGAAAAAATATAAAACTGTTAAGAAGAGCAGGGGCCAACTTGACTGATGAGCAATATGGTCCTTGGGACTCTTTTCAGTGGTAATGGAATTTTGTGCTAATGCATGCTGATACAGGTTGATTTTCAGAGGATTCATTCTGCATGAAATTCTTGTAAATATAATAATTTTATGTAAATTAGTTGACAAGAAACATTTATTAAAAAAACTATTACATGCTGAATAATGAAGCCACGCCCTCCAGCGTAGAAACAGGTAACATTGCTTGACGACGTGATATTCCCAAAAATATTGACTGTGCAGAATTAATGCGCACAAGGTTGACTGTAATATGTATTTGTATAAAACATTCAGTATGATATAATAAATATTGCATGTAGTTGAGTGTATTATTGACAATTTTCACCCCTCGTAAATATTGTCAACCTCAGCTTTGCCTCAGTTGACAATACTTTTCTTGGGATGAAAATTTTCAATGTTACACTCTACATGCAATATTTCATATATAATACTACTCTACTAGTCAATAGTTTAAATTTATTTAAAGTTACTATAAATGTCATTATTTTTTTACAGAACTGTTTGAATAAATTTGCCCATGAAATGGGAGAGATGCTAAAATACTTTAATGTAAGTATAGTTTAATTTGGATTTTATGGTATCTATTTGAAATTTTTTTAAGTATCATGTAATTGTTTTGTCAGATGTACCTACTGTGAAAATCAATTATTTTGTAACTTCTTAGTAAATGTATATAATTGAGCATATAAAACTCATTTGTGACTAAAACACAAAAGTTAGTGTTGGAAATTATAATATTTTGCTATCTATATTATAGATTTTAATGGACCAAGCTAATAGATCTGTTTGTAAAAATCTCAACAATTTTGTGAAGCAGTAAGTATTGTTTAAAATAGCTTGATATTATTATGTTTGATTAACAATAATTAAATGAACATAATTTTTATGCCCCTGGGTCAAAAGATCCCGTGGGTATTGTTTTTGTCGTGTCTGTCTGTTGTCAA